CTCCCTGGGTCAGTAGTGTGTGACCTTCGGTTTCATCTCCTGTGCTTTTCTCGTTCTTCTTCAGTGTTGGACAGAGGAAGAACTTCAAGGCGGTTGAGAGCCGCGGTGCAGTGGATTGCGAAAAAAACCCCAACTTCTAAAAAGACTCAACTGCTTCTCTTTTCCCCTTCACGGGAAGACACACCGAGCCCTCCACTCCATTACAGGATTCTGGACACGACTTCCCTCGTATTCTTGTGGGGAACACACAAGCCGACCCAGCCGCCCTGAATGGCCAGTTTGTATTGAGAACTTGTTTGAGCCCTTTGTTGCCTTGGTGCATTTCGGAGAAATGGAACTCTGGCAAAATAAGGGCTGCACAGTCTTCTCACAGGTACTCCTCCCTGACCCTAACAATACCGTTTTTCAGGTGCCCCACTGATTTCCAAGGAAAAATTGCAGTATGTATTTTAAAACACCGCCCTGGGCCATTAGATTTTTGAGGATTTGCCAAATTTCCCAAGTCACCAAAACAAATCTCTGGTTTGACTTGTAAACCAGGAGTTTCTTGAATCCCCAAGAGACTGAGAGGCCTTTTTTCTCTTTCCACAGCCCACATCGTGGGAAACAGAACAGGTCATTTTGAGAGCACCATGCCAACATGGCATCATCCCACCCACAGTGTCCATTAACCATGACTATGCCAAAACACTCTGATAAGAAAATAGCTTCAAGTTTGGGCACTTTAATTTTTTTTTTAAATTGTATTTATTTTGGTATTGGGGATTGAACTCAGGGATGTTTTACCACTGAGCCACATCCTCAGTTCTTTTTATTTTGTATTTTGGGACAGGGATTAAACTCAGGGACATTTGACCACTGAGCCACATCCCCAGCCCTATATTGTATTTTTATTTAGAGACAGGGTCTTACTGAATTGCTTAGTGCCTTGATAAATTGTTGAGGCTGGTTTGGAACTTGCAATCCTCCTGTCTCAGCCTCCCAAATTGCTGGGATTACTAGGATTATAGGGTCCAGCCTGTAGCTTTCTTTTTTATGATAATGATTATTCCTTTGTTCCAATAAAAGATCGTATGCTGTTATTGGGATTCCAATGCTTAAGCCAATTAGTTTCCATTTTGGAAGATCTTAAATCTCTTGCAGAAAACCTTTAAGGTCCTGTTTGCAAAATCCTGCATTTTTTAGACATTAAGATACAAAATCCAATTTTTCTCAGTTTTTCCTCAGACCCACAGTTTTCTGTTAACAGTGAGGTCCTAAAAGAGCTCTCACCTGCCAGAGTCTGAGGCCACACAGCCAGGGAGCCAGCCAGCAGCCAGGAAGCCAGCCATCGCTACCAAGTGTTTATTCACACCTGCAGACAATTCCAATTGCGGGGAAAGCTTCGCCTTCCACTTGGGGGAAGAAAAGTACAAGCCCAGCTTTCAATAAGTGCCACTTAAGAAAAGGTCCAAATATGCCAAGTCACTGTGACAGCTTCTAATTTAGCTGGAGTTGTGAAGAAAGGAGACGAATGGTAACCATAGAAGGTCACTTGATTTGAGTTGAAGAGAATGGCATTTCTCTGAGGTCTGAAAACCCATCTGTCTTGAGAAAGACATCAGACAAACCCCAACAGAGGAACATTCTATAAAACCCCCGGACAGTACTCCTCAAAACTGCTAAGGTTATAAAAAATAAAGTCAGTCTGAAGAACAAGCACTCTGTAGGGGCCATGAGGAGTCCAAGGAGACGCGGCCACTGAATGTAATGTGGGTGCAGGACGGGCTGGGGATCAGAGAAGACTTCAGGGAACACCCAGGAAATTCTAATGAAATATGAGGCTTTAGTTAGTAACATTATCAGTATTGGTTCATTAATGATGCCTGATGTACCAAGGTCATGTTAAGATATTAACTGGGGTAACTATTCCAGGGGTGGGGAGGAGAAGGGAACCCTATCTTGCAATTTTCCTGGAAATCATATTCTAAAAGTTTATCAGAAAAAAAAAAAGTGGTAACATGTAGGTTAGTTCTTAAAACATTACTTCTATTATTACATTAGGCCTAACAAAGTTGGATAAACCAGGAGCCCTGACTCAGCCCAGTGCAGTCTCACGTGTCAGAGTAGAGAGAACACAGTGGCTTCCTTTCCTCCTCCTGAAAACACCCACAGGAGTCCACCTCTCCACAGGACAAGCTTTTCACCACTGACTAAGGCAGAGTATTGGTGGGATCTGCTGAAGTCAACTGCTGAGCCTTAAGTCACTGGATGAAACCTTTGCTTTCAAACTTTAACCTTGTCATCTGCTTCACACAGTTTAAATGACATCATAGTATCAAATCATTTGTAAATGTTTATTAAATGTCAGTAATTTTCACAAAGCAAATTATTAATAGCAAGAGGCATTTTTTTTTGCAAAATATGTACAAAAGTAAAAAGCCTTAATGAATAGCAATTAATTTTGTAAAAACCGAACCATCTTTTCCTTTTAGATTTCCTCACAAATAATTTATTTGCCAATCCTGAACTAGAGCACTGACCAAAAAAAGAAAAAAAAAATTTACAACAATCTCAAATAATGTGCTTAGTTCTTGGAAGATTATAAAAAGTTCAATGAAAAACCCTAAACCACAAATACTTTTATTCAGAGCTAATACAAATTATGTTTTGTTAGGTACAGTATCTATGAGGTTGTTACAAAATATACTTTTTGATAAGGCTTCTTGTGGTAAATGAGCTCTCCACAGCATACTAGAGTAGCAGAGAAAACCATTTTAAAACATTTTGCGATTCTGCTTTCAAGTAAGAGGTAAAGGATAAATGGCATAGTTTGTTGCATTGTTACACATACTTAATGAGAATTAATCCCTTCCCCCTCCCCTTGATTCCTGGTACCATCCAAGAGGCTTGCCTGAGGACAAATACATCACTCACTAAAGGAATATCATAAACAAGCTTTCTAAATACAAACCCAAATCACATATATCAAGTAAGTAGTTTATTACTATCACTGATATTCACCAACAGGAAAGTTATGCCCAGTGGGTCCCAGTAGACTTCAATCCATCTGTAAATATCCATCATTCACAGTAGATTTGTATAGGTCACGAAAATCTCTGATCAACCCAGAAAATACTGCTATATCATTAATGCTTTGAGAAAACAATGTTCATTCAGTTTAAGTTCCAGCATTTAAAACTCAGATGGTTAGACCTGAATGCCACAAGGGCGAACATATTAATTTAAATGCTGACCATAAATTCACATCTAGACACAAGGATGCTAGTGGTATAGTGTACTTCAAATGATGTTAACAATCACGTGCCAGTCCAAGGCTAATATCTACTTGATGGTGCTTGAAAAAGCCAGAGAAAAACTGGTTTAAGATGTTCAGGTTGAAGATGCAGACTCAAGCTCTAGTGTAAATGGATTAAGCCCTAACCTCGTACCATGACACAGCGGGCACGTACTGCAGCGTCTGCTTCATCGGGAACAGGAGGACACAGCCATGCCCCCTCATTACCTTTCCCCTCTCTTTACCAGACAGAAAAGCTGACTTGTGTTCTAGGATTTAAAAAACAAACAAAACAAAACAAAACAAAAACAAAACAGTACTTTTTCGGTCAAGCAGCACAACACAAAGATCATCTGATTTGTGGAACTGAACAAGCTGAAACAACGGTATGGAGGCCAAGTGACCAGGACACGCTGAACTTCCAAGGGAAGACAATGTGCAAAACTTTTGTTCTTGGTTCCTTTAGTAAAACTAAAAGAAATGAAAAGGTAACAGAGCAACTTTCTCTAGATTTATTAGGGAGTTTTGTTACAAATGTTTGGGCTTTACAGGCATGACTGCATGATTCAAACAAGAAATGAAGAGTTAACACTGATATTTAGCCTTCTCATTACATATACAGAAATAACATTGCTACAAATTGCAATGGAGAGAATCTTGTTTCAAATGGCTCCTTTGGGGTTTTGTCTAAATGTATCATTAAATAATGAAAGCACCAATTTGAGAGTTTCTCAAATAGTGATTTGAATTTCAGGACATAATAGCAAAAGTTTCTAACTTCATTCTCCAAAGAAATAAGGCATAACCAGATGTGAATACTAATGCTGACAAATACATTTTATCAAAAGCACAAGATACAAGTATTTGGGCATACACTGAAAGTTAAGATTTAATTATAGGGCACAAGATTCCTGTTGAATCTTAATCAATACTTCTACTATCTTCTGGTATTAGGTGGTCTTATTTCCTTCCACTTTTTTTTTTTTTTTGTTGGTTAGTTTGGTTTTTTGGTACTGGAGATTGAACCCAGGGGCACTTAACCATTGAACCACACTCCCAGCCCTTTTTATTTTTTATTTTGAGACAGGGTCCTGCTGATATTCAGGGCCTTGCTTAGTTGCTGAGACTGACCTTGAACTCACAATCCTTCGGCCTCAGCCTCCTGAGTTGCTGGGATTAGAGGCTAGAGGTGTGCATCACCACTTCTGGCCCGCTTCCTTCCCCTTTAAACCAACCACTGCCACCAACCAAACAAGATTTTCATTGATGGTCTCGCCTCTAGAGAGTAACCAGAGGATCCTGTCTATGTAATGTATCCGTCAATGGAACTTAAAAGGAAACAAAAACAATAACTTTCATTCCACACTGTCTTCTTTGGCTGCAGTTGCTCATTAGCCATCAAGTGCCCTTTTCAGATATAAAATTCAGATATTTTATTCAGATATAAAACTGAAATGAAGACTTCACCTTAATGCAATATTTGGCAGGAAGCAACAATTCAGGCTATTAAAAATAATATTTAAGTGGCAGAGGCATGCCTTGAATTACTCAGATCTTCAGAAAACATTTGACAAAACCCTTTCCTTATAAAAATTAAGGTGTAATTTGTGTTTTCTCTGATTGATAAGGCAGTTCTGTATAATTTCTTCAAGGTCAACAAAGACACTGTGTGAGATTTCTTCAGATAAATGAGAAGGCATTCAGATTGAAGACCGGAAAGCAATACAGAAATAGGCACATTTTATTCCAAACCATAACCAAAGATTTGGAAAATTTAATACATCAAAGAACTTGAAATCTGAGTTACTTTTTTAGAGATCAGGGGAAGTTAGCACAGTGAAAAGTAAGAGCACCTTCTCAGTTCTGCTCATTGAATTCCAACTTCTTTTTCATACAGTGGTACTTGAATTCAAAGGATGTGGCTTTCATGATATAGGCAAGAGATTCCTTTCAAATAATTTAAAATACAGCACAGGAGAACGTGGACTGAAGCCTATAGGTTGAATCTCATAGTTCTACTGAAGGTCTAAGCAAGGCTGATAAATTAAATAGAATTTATTGCCTCAAAATAGATTCTAAATCCTATTTTAAAAGAATGTTGATTGTGAGACATTGCACACATCAGAAGAAAGCTGCAAATGACACCATATCTAGTTGGTGTTTTAACATTTCTTGGTGGCAGCTAAAAAGAGGGAAACTTGGTATTTTCTGCTTTATCAGACAATATTTATGCTTATCACAGATCTTAAAATAGCTTCAATAAGACTAAGTTGTCAACCTTCTATAGGGAGCTGACTGAAGCCTTCACTGTAGTTAAATATTTGTCTTGGCCACTCAATAAAACTATCAGCTAAATTTACAGTAGGCTCTACCAAACAGGCCCAATAGTACTGTGCACATACTCAGATGTTCATTAGCACTGGGGTTATGCTAACCCTGTAAATTTAAACAATATACTCTATCCTTTTTGGCAAGAAGCACTAATAGAACTATTAAAACATGCACGAATTATGCTATGAATACCTGCATTATTACCATGCTGGGCTGTGTGTCTGAAGCTCATGTATTACAAAGGCATGAAAACACTAAGATTTAAATGGATGTAATGACAGTGAAACTTCAAATGCAAGAAAAAGCCAGGATGTCAAGAACAAATCCCTGGTTAGCACACTGCAAGGTCTACCTCTCCTACCTGACAGCAAGACAGGACAAGAGCCACTGTCTAGGAAAGGACAGGTGATCCACAATGTTGACCAATCTTTCAAGGACCAATAAAATACCTGAGAACACAGTCAGCTATACAGTAAAGTGACAGATATCACAGTCTTAATCATAATTTTTAGGAAAAGCAGAAAAGCTGTCAGATCTTGCAAACTGTACCAGCTTTGTACATCTGTATCTTGAATCCAATTGAACACTGCATAAAACCTACAGGCAGTCCTGCACACCAGCCATTCTGCTCACCATCTGCAATCCAAGCTACTCCACGGCATGGTTGAATGTGATAAGCAATGGGAGGTCAAATGTAATCACCTTTAGGTGTGAACTAAAAAAATTACTACTTTTCCTTATAAGCATTCTTAAAATTTGAAAATGTACCTTGATAAAGCTGGCATCTCATAATCAATAATTACACAAACATGTACATACTGTATCTTTTAGAGACACACCAAGAATGAACAGCAATCTCAAATAATGCCTTCTTGAATAGTTTGACAGGAAAATACTACCCTTGGCAAGCTCCAAATAAACAGAAGACTCCCTTAAATGCCACAGTTTGTTGTTGCTGGGGATGGGACAGAAGAGCAAAAGAAATAAGTGATGATGTGACACTGATTTCCTTGAGTAAGGAGCAAAGTCAACCAAGACAGGACTGAGGAGTGACCCACATGGCATTCTGGACCAATTACGTTTATTTGTTACCAAGTCACTTGCAATTTTTAGTTGCTGCTGTGGCCAAACTATTTCACATATGAAACATTAAATCACATGATCAGGAAATAGGAAAAAGGCAAACTGTAGGTCACTCGTTACTTTGACACTATTATAGCATTTGCTCCCTGGTACCATTCCCACCAGACCAGACTAGAAATCCTTATGTAAACTTTAAAACACTAAGAACATTGCCTTCAGAAACCATAGAAATTTTGTAACAAAACAACTGTTGCGTATATATGCAATTATGAACACATGAAGGCTAAACCTGCGTGTAAATTGACCGATGTCAATAAAACCTTTTCCAACAGTGCTTTCACAATAGGAAGTGGTAGGCTGGGCAGCGCGTGTCCTGCTCTGTGTAAGGCAGACTGAAGATCTCTTCCCTGCACGAGAGCCTAAATTCCTAAAGGCATTCCTACATGTACTCAAGGATGCCGTCTACACTTGGCACTACAGAGAACTCTTTTTAAAAGGTGGAAGAATTTGAAGCCTGAGGTTGGCTAGGAAATGACAACTGGACATGAGCGGGAGCCGTGGCGAGACCAATCCAAGCCTGAATTCCAGCGGATATTGGCAATGTGTTACTCAGCAGCGTCCAGCCACAAACCAAAGGCCGCAGGACTAAGATTTCCCAAAAGTTAAACACAGAATCAAGACTTTTCTAATTCTTGTTGTAAACTGCTATTTTAAAAAACAAGACAAGACAAACAGAAAACAATCAAAAACACAAAAGGTATTAAAATAGCAAGTCTTTGTACATCACTGTAGCATAAGCTGCTTGAGGTTGTCGTGAAGAATGGTGTCCTTCACGTCGCGGAAAACGAGGCGGATGTTCTCCGTGTTGATAGCAGTGGTGAAGTGGTGGTATAAGGGCTTCTGCTGCTGGTCCCGGCGTTTGCTCCGGAAACATTCCACCAGGAATTTTTGGACGTCTCTTAAGCAGTGTGGATCCCCTTCAAATTCTAGGAAGTAGTCTTTGATGCTCACAATTTGCACCTTCTCCTCAAGCAAGTCTGTCTTGTTTAAGAAAAGAATTATGGAGACATTGCTGAAAACCCGGTTATTGACGATTGTTTCGAAAATGTTCAGAGATTCTGTAAGGCGATTGGTCAGTCGATCTTCCATAAGCACCTGGTCAAATTCACTTGAGGAAACAAGAAAAAGTATTGACGTCACACTGTCAAAGCATTCAAACCAACGTTTCCTTTCTGATCTTTGACCACCTACATCAACCATTTTGAAAGGAACATTTTTAATTTCAAAGTCGTACTCATGAATGCCTTTGGTGGGTCTTCTGGCAAGAAGAATATCTTGTTGTGATGGAATGTAATCCTGGAAAAGAAAAAACAGTTGTATACTCAGTAATCCAGAAGTCATTATCAGAATTTTTAAAAAATAATAGTACTGTAGTACTATTATTCTCATTAAAAAATGCCAAAGAATTATTATAATGTTAGTTGACAAAAACTGGTTCAAAATTCACCACCAATGACCAGCATCTACTATTGTTTTCACCCCTGTAATACTACTCACATTTAAGCTGAAGTCTTATCTGCAGGCTGTCCCCAGCCACCCCGCTGCACGTTCAACTTCAGCCTCCTCCCACTGCTATGCACTTCTCGGTCCCCCCAGAGTGCTCCCCGTGCCCCCACACTCTCCATCTCCACACTGCTCCTTGCACCTCTATTAAAAGCAAGGGCATCCGAACCCAATCAGCTCACCCCGGGTTCTGTCTGCCTCTCGAACCCACTTTAATGCTGACTTACTGTGCATCACACGGCTCCAGGACGCACAACTAGCCCCAAGGACTACTGCTGCTCTATGACACGTGTGGAAAACACTTCCTCTACTCACATGTACTTTGGGCCACTTGCTAAGTTTGTTTCTAGAGTATTGTCCAAGTAGCTGTGTTCCAATTTTCTCATTTATTGACCCAAGAACTCATAACTAGTCACTTACTGTGTGTCAATACCTGTGCCTGTGAACTGGAGGGAATCAGACCTGCCTTTGTGCCTTGCAGGAAAAGCTGCAAAGACAGAGTGAGCTCTTCCTGGGCTTTAAGAATCTGAGCAAAGGGCGGCTGCCAGTGGCCATCCCCAGCTACACTCTGCAGGCATACTTCCTGAAGCAATGCAGCGGGGTCCAGTATGCCTCCTCACACTGTCGCAGCTTCTTAGCAGGATGTTAAGGTAACAGGAGAGGTCTTGTGCTCATCCCCAAGGCCAAAATATCTTCAAGGCAGGATTCTAAACAATGCTGTTATTCACAATGCTGTCTGCATTTTATGTCTTTCCATGTAGTGTAATGATTTTGAAATTTCATTACAACACGAGTACTCATCTCCTCACAAAGACACCAATAGAATTAAGAATGTTAAAACAGCAGATCAGTTTTAGTTATTGGCAATCCCAACCACTCATTATATAACTATAGGACTCCAATAAAAGTGTTAGCGTTTCCATGCTTTCTTCTAGCTTTTGTCCATATACATTGCAATTTTACTGATAATGAGCACTGTACGATTTTTAGCCTGCCTTCATATTCTGCTTAACATTTACCATGAACTGAATTCCATGTTGGTGTCATCTCATTTTTTAAAAAACTGTGAGTCACATAAAAGCATTAATGTGCTATGATTTACATTAACATTCCTCTACTAGTGGGGTGTTGCCAATGCTTTTTGCTGTAATTAACAGATATACTGCAATTAAAGTTCTCACACATCGTTTGGACTATTTCTTAAGAGGAAAACAACCAGGGATAAGATTATGAGGCGTACAAACACTGTAATGATCCTGGATACCAAAAGTCCAATTGCTTCCAGAAGATGGTCCCATTTCCATTTTCTGGCTGTGCTGCCTACTTCAGGAATGTGCCAGCCCTGAGCATTTTGAAAACTTTCTAATTCCATAAAATCCCAAAGTTCTCTATTATCGTCTTTATAATGAACTAGCAATCTAGTCAGGAGTCTCAAGTCTAATCTGCATGAAGCACAGAATGTAATCAAGTGCTAAATGGCAGAATAGAGTACGTTGATTAGGAATGTGATTCCTACAGCCAGCTGGCCACTATACCTATGTGACCTTGGGCAAGCCACTGAAGTTCTCTGTGTCTCAGTTTCTTCACCTGTAAAGTGGAGATGACATGCAGAGGGTTGCCTTGAGGACTAAGCAAATTAAAAGGGTGAGTGCTTAAGAGCCATGTGTGGGGCTGGGGTCGTGGCTCAGCGGTAGAGCGATCGCCTTGCATATGCGAGACCTGGGTTCGATCCTCAACACCACATAAAAATAAATAAGTGAAATAAAGATATTTTGTCCAACTACAACTAAAAAATAAATATTTAAAAAAAAAGAGCCATGTGTGGCAAGTGGTCAGCTGTCACTGTGTGTCCACTACACTGCCGTCACTGCCACTGCAGAAAAGGCGGGGAGTCAAGGAAGGCTGGAACCTCGGGGGCTCCTGCGCTGAGCCTCTCATCTTCTGATGCTCGCCAGTCATCAGGCTCAGTGACCTTCACGTGCTCACTAAGAAGCTCTTCTCCTCCCTGGCCAGCCCCTCTCAGCCAAGAGTGTGCTTTGCTTCCCAATTCCTGCCCCACCAACAGTCCCCGCATCTTTCTGTCCTCCGTCATCCTGGACTCCTCCCTGACATCTCCAGTTGTATCAAATCCCCAGTTCCTTCTTGGCATCTGTTACGCGCTCTCTTTCCTCTTTATTTCCACACCCCATTTTTTATCACCTCAGGTATGGCTTGTCCTCTCATCCCTAGCTTCTCTGCCTTGATGGCTCACCTCTTGGCTCTCCCAAGCCAACCTCCCGCATCATAACCACAGACCTTACGATGGCTCCCCGCTGCGTCAGATCCAGAATCTGCTCTGACTGGCTTTTGTGGCTCTCCATATACCTTTTTTTCTGCGGTCAGCAGACTCTGTTAAGCATGTTCATGCTCCACACAGGTGCCTAACACCAAGACCTGCACAAAGCCTCACCTCGGTACCATCACACCTCCATCGATTTCAACAACAATGCAAGCGCAGCACAGTGGACAAACACTGAAGCCACTGCCTTCTAGAAGCGCTTTCCCATGTTAGAACTGCACGCATCCTTCACCAGACAGCAGGGTCTAACACAAACAGACCCAGTTGTCCCCTGCCTCAGGGGGCCGCATCTCCTTATCTGTCCAAATCCATCCTGCCCCTCAGGCAGTTAGGTTCACTAACTCTTTATGCACTAGCTCCAACTTTTCCAGAAAGAAACTTTTCAATCCATAAGCTAATATCTTTGTGCTCTGTATCATTTAATGGTCTTTACTTGTTTAAGTATGTTAGTTCCATCTATGATTAGACTGAGCTCTTTAAATGTAGAGATTTAAAAAAAAAAAAAAGCCAACACTGGGCATTTGCTACATTTCTACACCCTCTGGGTTTATTTTATGTAATATTCTGTATCCCTACAAGCTGGGTTCCCTTACTATGTCCATATTATGGACTAAGAAACTGCAGTTTAGAGATGCTGATGTCACACAGAGCCAGTCTGCAACGGAGCTGGGACTTAAATCCTTGCCCCCTGTGTTGTTCCATCTCCAACAATGTCACAGGGCTAAGTGCAGGGTTTCAATGGCCCTGGGACCTAAGAGATGTAGCCAGTGCAATCCTGTGACTTGTCTGATATGTACAAAATGGATGACAAAAATACACCCAGGATTATTCTCCCCTTCTTTACAACTACATGTTGATCTCAACTCTTCTTTTTATTCCAGATGTGGCTTCAGAGTTATTGTCAACATAAGATTCTAAGTAGCCACTACAAATTGGTTAGAGTTGGCCTGGAGAATTCATTCAAAAACTGTTTTCTGGTCTAAGCGTGTGGCTCGGTGGTAGAGTGCTTACCTAACGTATCAAGGCCTGCACACCCCCCCCCTCCCGGCACTGCAGAGAAAAGCACAAAAGGCGGTTTGTTGAGTGCCGACTTCAAGCCAGGCACTTTCTCTAGGTACCAGGGTCTCAACTCTTCGTGATCAGGAGATGAGATCCTGGCCCTTATGGAAAGAGATAGGTAAAGGGTAAATATAAAGTAATTGTCTGCTATAATACATGCAAAAGAGGAAAAAATCGAGGGCTGACACTGAGAGTCAGAAGGAGGGGACCTACTTGAATGGTGTGTTCATGGAAGGAAGGTCTACTGGAAAAGTACATTGACAAGAGCAGGTCAAGTCAGCTCTGTTTTGACAACAAGAAATAACTCTTAATAAGTAGGTTATCTACCAAGCCTTCCCTCTGGCTGACCTGTACTTAATTAAAAAAAAAAAAGTTTATAATCTGACCAAATGGAAAGAAAAAGACAAACCTTAATACAAAGTTTTACTGATGTGTACTGTACTGAATGAGTAAAAACATACATTTTTGGAGATGTCAATTTCAGGGGGCTCCCGTGTCTAAGAAACTGGCTGGGCTAAAACATACTATCTTAAAAGCAGACAAATGCAATTAAAAATAAATAAATAAATAAAGGGAAAACGTTTTCCTGCCGGGGAAAAGAAGGTACTGCTTCACATGCCTACATCTCCCAGCAGCACACGACTTTCTTCCTAGGAACAGGTTCATTTTGTGCTTTTCTTCAAAGAACCCACAAGACCATATTAACATTTATAAAAAAAAAAATTGCTTTAAAAGGAGGCAGGCAAATGAAGCTACACTAAACTTAATGAGTAACAGAGTCTCTAGGGCGATGGCATTCAAACATTTTCTAAGCAGCAGAAACCTTGATTCTAATGAACTCCTCTGCACTAGTCCAACACGGAGGACAGCCAAGTGGCGCTCTGCCTGCCGTGGCCCCAGGAAGCCAGAGGCAGCTCTGGTGCAGCTGGGGGGCTGGAGGAAAGACATGCAGGAAGGTACAGACTCTTTCCAAGGGGGACCCCTCTCCTACCTCGTGCAGTCTCTTGAGCAGGCCTCCAGGATCAAGCCTGCATGCTGCAACTCAACACAAAGGAGTCCTGAACTGGCAAACAGACTATACTAATGGTCTGGAAACAAATCAGCCCACTGTGTTCTTCCTTCTCTGCTCACAAAACCCCCAATCACACTGAAAGATAGTAGATAATGTGCAATCTCATCGTGAACCATAAATCTCTTTAACAGTTTTACTTCCATGAAACAGAGGGCAGGGCAATTACTCAAGGAAACTGGCAGAGGGCTAGATGGTAAAGGGAGAAAAAAGTGTCGCAACTGGAAAATAATTTTTTCATTTTGAAAAAATATAAGTCATTCAATATTTTTAGCTACCAATCACTCTAAATAAGACAGGATGAGTCAGACTACTGCCACTAGGAAAAAAGGAAGAGACAAACAGCTCAATGTGTATTTTTTCTAAATTTCCTAATAAGCTACACCAAAGTAAAAACATCAGAATCCTGACTATTGCTTTTAGACATCAACAAACATGAACATCCAGTTTTAAAACTTACTGGTTCTCCAAGTTTATCCAAGTTATCCAGGAAATATTTTACAGATTCACCCTAAAAACAAGAAGAAAATAAATAGTTACGAAGGTTCAGAAATGGAAGATCTTGTTACAACAGTTTATATTCCACTGTCTGGTTGTACACTTAATCCAAACATACTTTGTTTAGTCACTAATTCAGAATGAACTGCAAACCCTTCTAAAAATGTGTAAGTCTGCTCTGTCAAAGTGCTAAATCTGCAAAGGCTGGTTAATTTTATAACTGCTCTAATGATCACCTACTTGGATGGGATTACAGGTAAGATTTTCTGATAGAACTATGTCTCCCAAAGGGAAAATGTAAAAATTGCTCGCTCTCTCTCTTTTTTTTTTTTAAAGAATTTAACCTTTATTTATTTGTTTTTACATGGCGCTGAGGATTGAACCCAGGGCCTCACCTGTCCTAGGGATGTGCTCTATCCCTGAGCCACAACCTCAGCCCTAAAAATTACTCTTGAGATAAACACAAATCTATCACTAAAACTGAGATTCTTTTTTGTCTACATTTTTCTCGAGTTCACAGCAGTGGTGCTTATCTTCAGGGATGAGAACAAACCAGAGGAGAGGCAAGAACTCAAATAACATCTTCCTGGAATAGGCGTGTGCCTGGACAGACACACAGAGCTCCCCAAGATTCTGGGAATTTGGGGGGCTTCACAACTCTGATGGGTCTTCTTTTCCTTACCCTTTCTGAGTCTAGATTTTTATTAGATCTCCAAGGAATTTCAAACAGCTAAGACTCAAGAAGAAGGGAATTCGCTTTGGGAAAGAAGGTTGCTCTGGGTCTGAGTGTCCAGGCCCTCGCCCTCTGTTTCAACTTGCCCTGCTGTGTGCTGCTGCCCGGTCCTGCCTGAAGCTGCTCCAGATCCTCAGGCTGCAGGGTCTCAATCAGCAGGTCTGGAGTTAGGTTCCAGTGTCTACAGTTCAAGGGACACTCAGGAACACAATGAGTCACAAGACTTTAAAGCAGCAGTTCTCAAAGTTTTTGGTTTCAAGAGCCCTTTATGTGTTTTAAGATTCCTGAGGATCCCCAAAGCTTTTGTTTATATAGGTTACAGCTACTGCTACTCACCATATTACAGAATAAACAGAAATCTTACCAAGTACTTTTGTTATTTCATTTTAAAACACCAGTAAGTCCATTACACATACGTTAAAATATTTGACAGGGAGGCTCTCATCTGTTTCTGCATTTGAACTGTTATGACAGGTTATTCTGTTTGAAATAAATGCAGAAATGCTGGCCACACACAACAGTGATATTAGAAAAGGATGAGTATTCGAATAACCTTTACAGATAATTATAAATATTCTTCTTTATTACCATACCAAAACTTGGTGAGTGGGAGTTTCATAAAGGTCATTTCCCTGGGAAACTGGAAACTTAACCAATGAACATTTTGAATTCCCTAGGTTATAAAGTTCACTGGTCTATCCTCTACTTTGAATGGATCTTTTACTCATCTACAATTCTGTAACATCAGACACTGGCCATTTGGAGCACGGTGTCACTAAGTTATGCAGATATTCCAAATGTTTCATTATAAAATATTTTAAATAATTATATTTGTTAATATCACCTCAATCTTATCACAAGTCTTTGGAAGCTGCCAAGTTCACAGTGGCAGACAGGACAAGTTTTCCTAAATTCTCATTTTCACTCAAAAGTTCAAGTTTTCTCACTGGTAACAGAAAATCACAGTTATTTTCCATGAAATGAATAGCTAATAACCTCATTTATTCTCTAAAACATGAATGCCAGTTGTTCTTCCAGGTGAAAATGGCACTACATGGAAAACACAGCTGGTGCAGCTCCCAACCCACCCACCTGCTCTTGTGCTTTTGCCTGGAGACTATCGTCCTGTTTTGGACGATAGTGTGCCTCCCATTTCAAAAGAGAATGTTAGAGAGATGTAGTAAAGGGTGAAGCTTTAACACAACCAACAATTTTACAGTTCCTTCAAGGGTAGTCTTAAGTAAAACTGGAATTTTTTGTTTGTTTCTGTTTCTTTTTTAATTTTTATTTTTGGTTACTGGGATTGAACTGAGGGGCACTCAACCACTAAACCACATCCCCAGCCTTATTTTGTATTTTATTTAGAGACAGGGTCTCATCGAGTTGCTTAGCACCTCACTGCTGCTGAGGCTGGCTTTGAATCCGTGATCCTCCTGCCTCAGCCTCCTGAGCCACTGGGACTATAGGCGTGCACAATAACATGACAGTAAAGAACACAACCAGTTCAGCTAGAGACTAATACCCTGGTCTAAGTGCCACAGAGCTGGCAGTTTGGCCCACTAGGGCACTTTACCTGCTGCTGTTCTGTACCACCAGGGTTATGTGTCAACATAGTGAAAAATGAAAATACATCTAGTGTCACTCTGAAGAATGTCTAACTCAAAGACTCCTGGAAAGGGTTTTGGTGATCCCTAGTAGACTGTGGTGTGGACCCCACTTCAAAAACCACTGCTTTAAAGGATATCATGGAGTAGGAGCCATGTGCAGCAGGTAGGGAGTGCCGGTGATATCCTCGGGATTATAAGTAATGGTAATTAGTAATTATTTTTTTCCGGACCTGGGAGATTGGTACACTATTTATAGCATCTAAAGATTTTTCAGAGAAAGGAAAATAAAAATTTCCACTGATTCACTCTGCATTAACAGATTATTTGGTCAAACCCATGTGAACATTTTGTATTATGTCACTCATTTTAATGAAAAAGTAGTATTTTCATTTAAAGATACAGCTCCACGTGCTTTCTGGTTTATATCTATACATTTACTTAGAGGCTTATTTGCACAACCCAAAGGAGGTGAAGTGCTTTGAGTACTTACGAAGGAAGTAAGCAGTGTTAATTTCATCGCTCATTGATAACCAGTTAAACATACAAGGATATTTCCTTTTGATGTTTTTTTTTATATATTTAAGATCACAGTTGAAATAACAGAGACAAGCTTGCATTCTGATTTTCCACGTAAGCAGTTATTATCATAATTCTTTGGTAATACTGGGGATTAAACTGAGGTGAATTCTATATCCCCAGCAGACCCCCCCACTTTTTCTTTTTAAATATTTTTTTTAGTTATATATGGATAAAATATCTTTATTTTGTTTATTTTTATGTGGTGCTGAGGATCGAACCCAATGCCTCACATGTGCGAGGCAAGTGCTCTACCACTGAGCCACAACCCCAGCCCCCCCAGCCCTTTTTAATTTTTGAGACCTCAGCGAAGCTGCTGAGGCTGGCTTTGAGCTTGTGATCCTCCTGCCTCAGCATCCTGAGTTGCTGGCATTATAGGTATATACCATGACACCTGTTATACATAAATTTAGTGGTAATAATAATTTAAGTATTTATATGCTAAAAAACTAAATAAAACTATCAACCTATGGTTGATATGAGAATCATTTCTTTAATAAATAGTTTTTAATATTTTCAAAATAACATTGTGAGAGACAGCTTTGAGCAAACAGCTCCACGTGCTTTCTGGTTTACATCTATAGTGATCACAGAAGAATGCCTACAGCAGTGGTTAAACAGTTGTAAGATGCCTACCAACTGCTGCCACAAGGGCTCTCCTGTCCCTCCTATCCTGACAGAATAAACTCAGTTTATTCTTCAACAGTGTGTCTGGATGAAGACAAATTAAGCCAAGATCATATAAGACTGTTTTGTAGATGGTTCTATAATTAACTAAGGTGCAAACTCAGAGAAGTTCCACATTATGGTGACTAATGTTTAGCATTTTAGAAACCCCAGAGCAAAGGAACTCTGTTTAAAAGAGAAAATGAGCCCCATGTCCAAAAAACAATAAAATTTCAACTACACAAAAATGTATTTCAATTAGCACTGTTTGTCTTAACTAATGATCAGATAAATGAAAATTAAAGTAATCTTATGAACTTGTTATATTATCTGAAGCAGTACACTTCCACCCTTTTTAAAGGAAATGCTTCCATTCAATGCACTGTTTGTGAGGATGTAGACAAATGTGTACCCCAATGCTAGTGACCCTGCAAATCCACAGATCTTTTACAATTTAAGAGTAGCAGGCTCCATAAAACTTTTAACGACTGTGGGTCCATTCTAAGGGACTTACTCAGCATAAACAAAATGATACATATAAAATGATATTTATTCAGTGCTATTTATAATATTAAGTCTGGAATATTAGGGGGGCAACTTAATAAATCTTTGTATACTAATGCAACAGAATATTACAGTCAAAACAATTATATCTGATGTAACTGCCACGTGATTTATACTGAATACTAAATTAAAGTAGTATATTACTAAGTATACGTCTATACCCTGATTCACAAACTTTTTTGCTTTTGCTTCTGCAAGCTTGGCCCAACACTCATCTGGCAACAAAATCTGCAATGAATTAACATTAGGTCCCTTACAGGCTTTGTTTATCCTATCTATTCAAATACTCTGCTACACAAAAACTGTGGCTATTACAACAGACAGCAAGCCATATACTGGATTATCTTTTCCATAACACATCTGGACTCAAGGATTCGTAAGACTATAGACTGAATTATGTATCATTTTATTTAGCTATTTCAAATACAGGCAAAAGTAATTTTGTGGCATTATGGGTGAAGAAAATCACCCCATTTGTTTTCTTAGTATTACAAATATTATTAAAATACATTTTAAAAGTAAGTTCTTGTCACTGAAGATTCCTGATTTAATTGCCATCCCTAAGAGGGGATCTTGTCTTTTGGGTCCAAATACTACATGACTTGTTTATTAGAATTTATAATATCACCAAAATCAAATGGTAATAATTACAGAAAATGTATGTGTTCCTATGATTAAATCTCAACCTCTACCAAGTTGTATCAGTAAAATTTACCAAGTCCTTTGTGCACTCAAAGCCTTAAAATTGAAATTAAAATATTTATAATTCTTTCACATTTAAATATATGAATTGTTTCTAATATTTTAAGTCCTAAATATGCCAAGTGACTTCAGTTTGCCTTCTCTCTCATCACTTTGCCAGTATTT